GACCAAATTTATTTTTAATTTCTTTAAATAAAAGATAACAATTTTGAAATGTTTGGTTGCACGGGAAATAATTCGTTGTAAAGAAGATTCGTGGAGACTTGTAACGGTAAATTCAGTTCAGTTATGGTAACGAATCACCATGAATTTTCTAAACGTCCTGTTTCTCAACTTTAGTAATCTGAACTTTTGGGGAAGGATGAGATCAGAATCAAAAAGTAAAACTTGTGATGAGTCGTTTTTTTTCTTTGCTGCGCTGGCTTGAAATGATTTGCAAATTGTTTGAAGTATTTTCGTTTTCCAAAATGATAAATGGTTGTGGTTATTTTACGTCACCGTATCGTGCGAATCCCGATTTGTGAAACTGAAAAACTTATCTGTTTGGTTCAAAACGTCAGGGTTGAGCGAAACAGATATTTGATCAAAAAAAATCGTGTTTCGTTTTAGATGTTTTTTGCGTGGTGTCGACCGCTGTCTACCGTTAGGTCTTCGACTTGCTCCGACGTTTCAGACCGTTCAAAATGACCAAAAACTGATGGTCTTGTCTTGGAACTTTACCTCAGATCGTCAAAGGTTAGCCACACAACGTGTTAGTGATATTTTCTGGATACGAGACCGGGTTCAAAAACGGTTTATTTCGTTGTTAATTTAATGATCGATCGATAAACAAATAATATGTGCATATTTTTTTGATTGTTTGTGTTTGAAATTAAAAAATTTATTTTTTGGATTTTGACCATTTGAGAGATACGTGATCTGGATAAGAAAAAATTTTAATTTCCTTTTCAATCTTTTTTGATTTTGACCGTTTGAAGGATAGTGGACTATCTGATTTCCTTTTGAAGAAAACCATAAAATTGTTGATTAATGAAAAATTTCCTTTCGGGAAAAACAAATAAAATACGTTGATTGATTAAGAAAAAAAGCTTAGTTGATTTTTTTAACAATTGAAATTTGTAAAGATTATTCTTCTATGGTGATGTAGACTTGAAAAAAACATCTAATCGATCAAATTGACCTTTTATCTGTGATGTATAAATAAATAAATGAATAAAAAACAACTTATTCGCCTCTCGGATGTTTTTTACTCGCTTGCTTTTTGCATAGTATTTTTTTAATTTTGATTATTTGTTATTAAATCCACTTAAAAAACCTATTATCGTGAAAGGATCGATTGTGGGTCTAACAACTTGCCTTTCAAGAACCACACAAACCTCCAAAAATCCATTACAATTCAGGAAGGAGCGAGAGTCATGTTCTTGAACAACAAACTGTCCGAGCACAACATCTGCAATGGGACGATAGGAGTGATAACTAAAGTCGTTGATGATGACAATGTGATGAAAATCAACGTTCAGAAAAGCGTTGCAAATTTTGATATCAATGGCATACTAGTCGTATGACATTTCCCTGAGGCTGCTTTTCTATATTAATATTAATATTAATATTAATATGTGAAAATAGATTCGAAATTCGTGTCACATGAAGTTTTTTTTAAAAATATCTCGTTATTTTTATAGTAAACTCGAACTTTGTTGTTAGAGTAAAATGAAAGTACTCCATTAAAGCTTTCTAATGAATACTCTTTCATATCGAAAGCTTTTCTCTACATCAATTCACGGCTATTCAAAAACGGGTATTATTTTTTCACTTCAAAGCTCAGATTATTTCTCAATATTGCTTTAAAAGACTTGATAGTAAATGAGAAGGTGTAGAATACTTTAAGCTTTCATATGGTCATTACTTTATGGGGGGTATTGGTTAATAAGTTTTAGAGAGGTTCACGAAAAACTATTTTATAGAAATTTTAATAGTCATGAAGAATTTATGTAGATGGGATTCAGCAAAAACTAAAAGGTATTTTATTAGTGATTGTTTTATATTTCTGACTTTATATTGATTAAAGTTTCATTAATGATTATTATGAATATCCATCAATCAGTAGTTGTTATAGCAACATTAAACAATAATATGCAAACGACGACAACGAATCGTCTTTTTTGAGGATGATAATAAAGATTAAGATCCAGTTTGTATAGGAGTGATCGAAGTAAGCGTTAAAGACAAGATCTATGAACAAATACTAACGAACGTTTTATCAATTATTCAATAGTTTGTGTAGGTGTAATCGAAGTAAGCATTATGGACAAGATCTATGAACAAAAAATAGTAACGAACATTTTATCAATTATTCAATAGTTTGTGTAGGTGTAATCAAAGTAAGCATTATGGACAAGATCTATGAACAAAACATACTAATGAATGTTTTATCAATTATTCAATAGTTTATATAGGAGTGATCGAAGTAAGCATTAAGGACAATATCTATGAACAAAACATACTAACGAATGTTTTATCAATTATTCAATAGTTTATATAGGAGTGATCAAAGTAAGCATTAAGGACAATATCTATGAACAAAACATACTAACGAATGTTTTATCAATTATTCGAAGTAAGCATTATGGACAAGATCTATGAACAAAATATACTAATGAACATTTTGGTTTCATTTCTGATTAATGTGTATGACTATTTTGATAAGCGAAAAGTTAAGATAAACACACTCAAAGAGGAATTTACAAAATTAAAAGAAAAAAATACTGAACTACAAAATGTCATCAAACAAGTATCTGGAGATCGTGAGGAATCGGTTTGTTATTTATGCATTATACGTATGATATACATATATAATATTATATTAATGGTCGATTCATCATATTCAAAAGGATGATCGTACTACAAAAATGAAATTGTTAGAAGAAGTTGAATCACAAAGAAAACAGTATTTAAAAGAATTGGAACGATATCGTGAATGTGATCCTGTGCTAATGGAAGCTAAAAGTATGCAATTTATAATTTTATCATCAATACATTTTACGTACCTAAACAAGCTGTCGCATTGTAAAGACTAAATTCTTTATTTTTTTTAAAGAAAAACATGCCAAACTTGCATTTGAAGCAGCCAACAGATGGACTGGTAAATATTATGAATTTAAATATAAAATTTCTTAATAATGTCAAAAAATCAAAAAAAAATTTTAATAATATTATATTGTACGCAACACATATATATATATGTATTTAGAAAATATTTTTATACTTCAATCATATTGTGTCAACAAATTCAACATTGAACGTTCAGAATTTGATCGTCAATTTAGTATTCCTGAAGATTTCGACACTTTATAATCAAGAGTTTATTATTATTACTTGAATAAAAAAGTAACCCTAAAAAATCACATTAAAAATATGTTTATTTATAATCATATGAATAAATAATATGAATAAATAAATATAAATATATATTTTTATTAATTAACTAATATATAAAAATAATGGCTTCATTTCGCATCTACAGGCTTATCAATCAATTATATAGCCTCTCTCTTTCATCAGTCAGAGAAATTAGAAATCATAAAAAGTTCAGTAAAGAAAGCATCGAGGAACAATTATGTGGAATAGAATGAAAAATACACTTGGAGGTACAGGACTTTATTAAATTAAATATAAGTAAGAATATTAAAAATTGAAGTGACAAGGAGATAAAAAAATCAAGACTGGCAATCATAATCGTAGAAATTCGGATAAACCATTAAAACTCGAGTAATAAACTTTCAAATGTCTTCACTACCATGTATGTGAAACAGGGATCTTCATTAAATGGACCACAGAATTTGTCATCTTTAGTGCTAAACTCAACACACGCACGGACCCAGTGTTGTCCTTCTGTTGAAATAAAGCGAGCGTGGTCGTAGGGATTTCTCGAAGCGCAACCATTATCGTTCAATCTAGTGCACCTTCTCCATTATGTTGTCAATCTTTTGACCAAAGATCGCATAGTGTACCATCAGCCGTATCTCTATATATACAGCAACATGATATGTAAATGGAATTAATAAAGCAAAGGACGAAATAGCGCATGCATTAAAATAATAAAAACCCTAATAGAAATACCAAAAAACGTAAATCAGCAATACAGAAAAAATCAAAAGGAAAAATCTTTACAAGATTATTTTACCAATATTGATGTTATGTTTTATTTTAACGATATCTATGCTTTTAAATGAATATAATAAATAAAATATAGTGCAGGTCATCCGAAAATGTTGCCAAACTTTAAATGTTGTCGTATTTCTAAATATGGACTATTTCACCAAAACTTTCTATTT